CGGCAGGCGGCAGCGGCAGGCGGCAGGCGGCAGGCGGCAGGCGGCAGGCGGCAGGCGGCAGGCGGCAGGCGGCAGGCGGCAGGCGGCAGGCGGCAGGCGGCAGGCGGCAGCGGCGGCCATGGCAGGGCAGGGCTCTGAAGGGGCTGGATGCGTGTGGTGGTTCGCGGATAGGCGGTCGGTGCGGCGGGCGGGGCTGCAAACACAGCAGATGCCTGTCAGCCGTGCGTGGCTGCCGCTTGCCACGATGCGGCTATGTCAGCATCAAGATTGATAGGATGCGATGGCGGCGGCAACGGCACAGTGGCAGCAGCTGCAGGAGTATCTGCGGCCCCCGTGTTGGCGACAATGGTCGGGGGCGCCGCCGCTGCCGCCACGACCGCCGCCGCCGCCGCCGCCGCAGCAGCAGCAGCAGCAGCAGCAGCAGCAGCAGCAGCAGCAGATGATGATGAAGAATCCAGGCAGAGCAGCGCTTCAACGTCCACAGCAACGCAAGAAGGCGCTGTTGGCTGTCGAGGTTGGGCCTGAGTGGGTTGCAGGGGCTGGCACCTCCAGCGGGCGGAGGCGCAGGTTGTTGGCGCATATGCTTGGCATTTGCACCCCGGGCGACCAACTTTGCTCAACACTGTGGTTTCTCATCGAATCTGCAGGCAATATCAATTTCCTTCTTGCAGGCTTCTGCATGTTCTCCATACTTATGTGCCTGTAAGACTCATGCCTTGCTCAAGGCAGGGTGTTGGAGTGGCCTTGGGTATGGCCAGCCGTCATGTGACAGCTAGTGGATTTCTGGGGCGTGTGTTGCAGCATAATGAGGCAGCTAGACAAGGAACTGTGCACACCAAAGCAGCCAAGCGTCTGTCACCGTCTGCCCAAGCAGAGCGGGTTCAACAATGGATATTCATGGTGGCCGGGCTGCGCAACGGTCGGCTCTGGTTGCAGGCAGAATTTAACAGATTGATCAGCAACATACGCTTTTATTGCGAGGGATCAGCCAGCCTAGAAGCGTCCTGCCAAATCCTGTGCACGGCTTCCCATTGAGAAGCAGCTGGCCTGTCGCAGTTGGTGACAATGTCGGGTGACGCAGCGATCGGTGCGGTGTCTGAGTTGACCTGATATGGCGCTTCAAAGCTCAAGCTGCCCTCATATTGACCTAATTGTGTTGAGCTTGGTTGAAGTTGCCGCCAATAAGCAATGCAGGCGGAGCGAATTACCGGTATACTTAGCCGGTGATCTGCAAGCACAGCTGCAAACTGCTGTTAAATGTTGAATTGAGGCTTGCAAAGGTGGCGCCCCGACGGACTGAGGGGCTCGGCTCGGGATCGAGTTTCGAACTGTGGCATGGAGTCGCTGGTGAGGCTGCAATGAGGCTAAAGTGCATATGAATCGACGCGGCAAACATGTCGCTGCCTGGTAATCATGAACGACTGCAGCGCGTGCCTACACTCCTTGCCTGCATCCAGTGCTGTTGCTGCGCGTGCAGCTGAGCTCGTGCTGGTGCCCCTGCCGCTAGGGAGCCCCAAGGCTCCCACCACCACCTGCCGCCCTCCTGTCCATCGCGCAGCCCCCCGTGCAGGATGTCAGTGGTGCCGATGCGCCACATGTTGATGCGGGGGAGGTCATGCAGCTCGTGCTGCACTGGCTGGCGGCGGGGCCGTGCAGCGGGGCGGCAGCTGCCCTTCAGAGGGAGGCGGAGGCGTTGGGGCTGCTGCCAAAGCGCCACGACGTGCGAGGTGCGCAGCGCTTTTCTCTGAAATGAGGCATGCCAGCTCATTGTTGCGTTGAGGCGAAATCGCGGCGCGTTCATGCTGCCCCAGCTTCGAGCCTGACTGTGAGCAACCAATCTCGAACAGCGATCTCACCAGAGCGGTGCATGCGGCCGCCTGCCCGGCTTCTCTTCAGCCCCGCACTGCGCCGGCGCCTGCAGCAGCAGAAGCAGCAGCCGCAAGCCCCGCCCAGCTACTTGGCTGCTGCCGGCCGAATGGATAAAGCACCAACTACCTTCGCCGCACCCGCACCCCCGCTAACCAACCACCCGCCCTGCGTCCCGGCTGCCGCCAGGCGGCGCGTCAGCCCAGACGTACCGGCGGCTTGCCGCCGCCCAGCCGCACCTCCCGGGCGACGCGCTGCCGCAGCTGCTGCAGCAAGTTTTGGCGGCCAAGCGGCTGTGCGGCGCGCCCGGCGCGGCGGTGAGCCCCCAGGGTCGACCTTAGTCTTGGCTGTCAGCAAGACCCGAAGCACGGCCCTTGTACCCGCTGCCCTCGCAAACGCGGCCTTGCAACCTTTAGCTGCTCCACCCTGGCTCGTCCCCCGCAGGGCCTCACCTCCCTGCTCGCGGAAGGCCCCCTTGCCACCATCCCGCACCTCGCCGCCGCGTTCCCGCCGCCGCCGCCCCGCGCCCTCCGCGCGCCGTTCGCGTCCGCCGCCCTCCCGGAGTGCCTGCTGCTGCGCCAGGCGGGCGCTGCGGCGGCGCGCGGCGCGGCGCCGCCGCCGTCCTTTGTGGCGGGCCGCATGCAGCGGCACACGACGGTGCGCGGCCACCGCCTTGCAGTGTACTGCGTCGCATTCGACCGGCGGGGCGGGCTGGTCATCACCGGCGCTGATGACTACCTAGTCAAGGTCAGTCATCGGCGGTCAAACTGCTGCGTGGTTTTGGCGCAGCCGGGCGATCGCACGGCGGCCCTATGCATGCCGTGCAGTGCAGCCGTCCAAACAATGAAAACAGTCGCCCAGCGGGCGACAGCAGCCGGCACCAAACTAAGAGCGCGTGGTGTTCAATGCCTTGGACGCAGTATCCCGCGCCCTCCTGGCGCCGCGGAGCGCACCCACCTTGCTTCCTCTGACGCACGCGCGCGCCGCGCGCAGATCTGGGACGTGCGCACGGGGCTGCTGCGCGCGTCCTGCCGGGGCCACGATCAGGAGGTGACTGATCTGGCGGTTTCGGGGGACAACCGCCTGGCGGCCTCCGGGTCGCTGGACAGGAGCATTCGCGTCTGGAACCTCCAGGTGCGGCGGCTGGTGCTGCCCTCTTTTTGAGAACCCCTGTAGCGGACCTGAGAGGGTCTCGGCAGCGAGCCGGGCTCGCGCGACCCCGTGTCTCGAGCGCCCGCTGTGGCGCTGGCAGAGGCGATTCGCTGCGGCGCCGCGCCCTGACACGGCTTCTGCTGACAGCCGGAAACACCCGGCCACGCCCTGCCGGCCGCCAACGCCTGGGCCGTCTCCTCGCAGGACGGATCCCTGGGCCACCCTGTGTCGGTCCTCCTGGGCCACACGCACATCATCACCCTGCTGGACTTCTGCCCCCACCCCTCCGCGCCGGCCGCGCTGCTGTCGTCGTCTTACGACGGCACCGTGAGGCTGTGGGATGCATTGGACGGCGCGGCGCGGCCGGCGGTGCTGCCCATCAAGGCGTTCGCGGCGGCGGCAGCCGCGGCGGCCGCGGCGGGGGGCGGCATGGCCAGGCCTGGCGGCGCCGCGGGCGCGCCCGCGGCGGCCGCGAG